TTAAAAATTCATATCATTGGGAAACAAGGAACTTCAAATAACAAATAGAATATCACAGATCCACACAAGTCTACAGCATTGAACGAAACCATTTGGCCAAGTGCAACTACATTGCCTGTGACAGTAATCCAAAACAAATCCCTCTCTCCCAAATTTTGCCCAGAGCCCTATATCATGATCCGCTACAAATATCTATCAAGTTTTCCCTGGTCTCGGTCTCAACTGCACCCTGTGGCAATCCATGCTATGTTCCAAAAACCCTCTAAAGAAATCTCTCCTGATTGTGACTATTTAAATTGGTGACCCCTCAGCACTAATGCACCAGAGGAAAGAGTCTGTCCCAACTTACCCCATTAAATGATTTTATAGTTTCAAAAACATCTATTAAATCGCCTTGGCCTCTTCTAACACTTTGGAAGTAGTCTCAAGATCACTGTTCTCCTCACAACTCTAGTTTCCAAGCCAAAACAACATCCTAGGTGAATGTGCACTACACTGTGGACTTATCATTCTTTCTATCAGTGTTGTCCAATGATTATGGCCAATTGAGAGCTCAGATGTGACAAACTGCAATGGGAAATAAAAATGCATCAGACAGTGGCACTTAACTTCAATATCACTGTACAGCTTAAGTGTGTACTTTAGTTCCTTTGTTCGTTCACATAAAAAGAGCAGTATGCACTTTATCATTGTGCGCTTCATTAATTCTTAACTGTGTCACATGGATGAAATAAGAACAACTTTTTTTAAGTACTTTGGAAACATTGTAAATGTTATATAGAGAAGTTTCTGCTCAATTTGGCCAACTGGAATAATCACTCAAGGTCAGTGTTATGTCAGGGCTTTCAGACTCTAGAGCAACCTTGGATGACGTCATGGAGCTGCTCTACTCTGAGCGTAAACAGTGTTACAGAGTTAAGATGGAAAGAGATAAACACATGGATCGAAAGGCAGAAGCCTGAAGTCTAGTCATCTGAATGTTTGAAACACAAGCAGCTAAGTCGGTGGAGGCAGAATCTAGCAATAGGTAGCAGAGATCAACACTGAAAAGGAGTCATACCAGACTCAAAATGACAACTTTATTTCTCTCCATAGATGCTGCCAGACCGGAGTTTCTCCAGCATTTTGTGTTTGTTTCAGATTTGCTGCATCTTCAGTACTTTGCTTTTATTTGAGAGTTTATGAAATAGTCTTTCAATAATGCCACATTAAGATCAGAGTGTGGTTACCTGAAGAAGCTCAAACCTAAAGACTGCTCTTGACCTTGCCTTCTCCTCAGCCAGTCTGCCTTAAACCCAAACTCATGGAAATGAGTATAAACCACACAGCAAAAAAAGGAATCTGCGTAAAAAAAGCCAGTCCAAGCAACAATCAGCTCCAGCAGAAAATGATATGGTGAAGGTGAAGTGACACGCAAACACCCTCTGGACGGAGAGTAGGATGGATCTGGCAAGTACATTTCCTGTGAATAAACATCCTCAGTAATTATTCTTGACTATTATTTCACCAGATGATAGAATAACATTTGTTACCCATCCATAAGTAACGTTGAGGTGGTGGTCATGAGACGCTTTCATGAAATGCTGCACTCAATAGGGGTTAGGTACACCTTCAGTGCCGCTTGGGAGGGATTCCAGGATCTTGAGTTAATGGTAACAGCTCCAAATCAGTTGTTAAACATGAAAGGGTGCAGAAAAGATTTACAAGGATGTTGCGGGGTTTGAAGGTTTTGAGCTATAGGGAGAGGCTGAATAGGTTGGGTACTTTTTTCACTGTAGCACAGAAGGTTGAGGAGTGACCTTGTAGAGGTTCATAAAATCATGAGGGGCCTGGACAGAATGAATTTCCAAAGTCTTTTTCCCAGGGTAAGGTTGTCCAAAACTAGACGGCATAGGTTTAAGGTGAAAGGGGCAACTTTTTCATAAGGTGATACAGATATGGAATGAGCTGCCAAAGGAAGTGGAGGAGGGCTGGTACAATTATAATATTTAAAAGACATTTGAATGGTTACATGAATAGGAAGAGTTTAAAAGGGATATGGGACAAATGGTACCAGATTAATTTCTGATATCTAGTTGGTACAGGCGAGTTGGACCAAAGGGTCTTTTTCTGTCACTCTATGACTCGAAGACGGTGTGTGGCTTGGAGGGGAACTTCGACTAGCAGTGGTCCCAAAAATCCACTGCCCTTGTCCTTCTCAATGTTAGGCATCAAAGGTTTGAAGGGAAATATCAAAGGAAGCACAGCGAGTTGTTGATGCAACGCATCTTGTTAGATGGGTGATACTGCAAGCATTGCGCCTCGGTGGTCGAGGAGCAATGGTTGAAGGTGGTAGACATGATATCAATCAAGAGGTTGCTTTGTTCTGGATGGTGTTGACCTTGAGTGTCGTTGGAACTGAACTCATCCAGGTAAGTTGGGAGTTTTCCATCACATTCCTGATGTGTGCCTCATAGATGATAAACGTGCTTTTAGGAAGGGAGTTAATCACCACAAAGTTTCCAGCCTTTTAACATATGAGCAAGGAGTTAGAAGAATAGGCTGATCTGACTGTAACCACAAATCTGCATTCCCACCTACCCCGGATCATCTTTCACTCCTTCACTTAACAGGGATCTATCCAACCATACCTTAAAAACATTCAAAGGCTCTGCTTCCACCACTTATTCAGGAAGACAATTTCGAAGACTCTGAACACTCAAGAGTTTTTAAAATAGGTGATCCCATTTTTTGAAAGTGACCCCCTAGTTCTAGATTATCTAGAGGTTGGTGATAACTTAGTAGTAATCTAACTGGACCAGTAACAGAAAAACACAGCCTGACATTCTGTGGATACGGGTTCAAATCTGACCATAGCAGATGGTGAAATTCCACATCATAAAAATATGGAATGTAAACACCATCAGTGTTAGAGTCTAGATAGAAACATAGAAAATAGGAGCAGGAGTTTACTATTTAGACTTTTGAGCCTGCTCTACCATTCATTATGATCATGTCTGATCATCCAATTCAACAGCCTGTTCACACGTTTCGCCTTTGGATATCTTGGAATATCTTTAACTCGACTTGTGATATTCAACTCTTTCTTGAAGTCATACAATATTTTGGCCTTGACTGCCTGCTGTGGTAGCGAATTTCACAGGCTCACTACTCTCTTTCCAACGGCAAACATGTCAAAGACGAGAGGGCAAAAGATTAAGGTGAGGAGCAAGTGGTTTAAAGGAGATCTGAAAAAAAAATTATTTTCACTGAGGGTGGTAGATATATGGACTGTACTGCCTGAGAAGGTGGAGGAGGCAGGTACACTCACAAAATTTAAGAAGTATCTGGATGAGTACTTAAATGCAGGACATAGTAGGCTATGGACCAAGTGCAGATAAATGGGATTAAAGTCGTTTGGGGTTTGTTCGTTAACGTGGATACGGTGGGCTGAAAGAACTGTTTCTATGCTGTATGACTCTAAATCTTAATTAAGATGTCTGCAAATCAAAAAAAAAATGGACCATTTGTCAGAAGAGGAGCGCCAAAGCCAGCAGACCCTTCACACAGCATTACTCCATGACAGCAGCTTGTGGATATTACTGGATGCAGATTACTGTTGGAAGGTAGCAGGACCAATGCTGAACTAAAAGCCAGGCCTCCATGTTTAAGCCAGGAACACTTGTTGTAGTTGACATCAACATTCTAATCTCAAAGGTCCAAACGATTCCTCCATCAAATCACCCATTGCTTATTCTGTCAGTAAAACTCTCTCTCAATTAAGTTTCTGGCCCAGAACTGAGGTCTTTGAACATAATTCACAACAAGTACTAAATCAGGATTTCTGAAGCATGCTTTATCCAGAAGGTATCAGTTTTCCAATATTTTCTGAACCTTCGTACTCGCATTTAACATCAGACTCAACTGCGTCTGTTTTTGTTGGTCATTTCTGTCAATACCTTTTACGCTATTTCAAAATTAAGCAGAATAAAGGTTACCAATAGGTTCAATTTTGTTTCACACTTCATACTTGCCAAGGTCCCAGGACAAGGCTATAACATTTACAAGTATTGTTCGAAGTGCACTTTTCTCCCCAGATTCTTTGGGGGAAACTGCATTCAAAAACTGAAATAAACATCAAACGTTGACCGATTAGGGCATCACGGACTCATCTTTGTTGTGAAAATGGAGATAAAACTGATTGACTATTCAGATTTACTTTTTTTCTTCCCTCATTCATACCACGTCAGCATCGCTGACGAGACCAGCATTTGTTGCCCATCTGAATTGCCCTTCAGAAGACAACAGTGAGCGTTCAAATAATGATAGAATTAGCACATCATAAAGCCGCTTAGCACTGGTGCCTACCTTAGTGGAAATGTGCACTAACTGTATTCCACAGTATATCAATGATGATCAAAAACATTTTGTTTCATTAATGCATCACAAAGTGTGCGATTTTTTCAAAACTGTATTCCATTTACTTGAAAGTGCAGCTTACAATATAAAAGCTTTACTGCGTGTAGAAGAAATTGTATACATTAAGACAATATTACAGAAGTAACCAAGTAGCCTGTTGAGCTTAAAGGGTAACCAAGGGCAAAGACTGGAACACAAAGGAGAAAGATAATGCAAAAAATTAAGGGAAATTCAGTAGAACTTTGGTGATGCACAGCAATCCACATCCAAATCAGACACCTCTGTCAATGTGGGTGACAAGCTAGGACAAGCCACTGCCATCTGTGCATTAGAGAAAACTGCAATCAATGTAAGAAGCTGTATGCTAATTCAAATCTTGCATATCATGAAATATACTAGAGAAGCTATAATTTCATTTGAAAGCAATTACTCATTACCATTTAATTCAAGGAGGTAAAATTGACCAATTATAAAAAAAATCTTGTACACTTGAAAGGAGCTTTAAAATCAAGGCCAAAACAGAGCAGCTTAAATTGCAATTGATTTTTAAAAAGCCTTACAATAATTTGTGTGCTAAAAAATGCATGCAAGGGGTCACCTACCTGAATAGGTCCAACTGACATCAGCAGGTTTTTCAACTGGAAATCAGTAGTTGAAGAAGAAAGCCCTTCAATTGACACCACACATGGTTGAGGTCTGCATTCCACCACTCGCAGATTCTGTTTATGTTGCATCATGCGTCCTCGGCCCATCTGGCCTGGTAATGCTGCGCCGCGCCCCTGCATAATGACCTGTAGAGAACACAACATTCAGCCAATTTATTTTGTCCTTGGGGTGTCAGCTTGCAGTTCAAAACATTGTGGGTCATATAATGCTTCGCAGAAACCTTGATGTGAAACTACTTAAGTTTATATTTTTAAAGCTGATTTGACCAATTTTAATATCTATGAGCCCCAACATTATAAATCAATAGCACTTGAGTACTGTCAACTGGCAACAATATTTAAATATCTAATCCCTAATCCATAGGCATGAAGAAGAATTTGTGTGTTTCTACCAAAGAAATGACAACAGGGCTATTAAAGGAAACCAGCGCATTGACACAGATTATGCATTAGAATTATATCCATGGCGACTAAAAAAAAAGGCAAGATTAATTATTTGGGAACATTTCAAATTTTTGAAGACACGTTATGCTGGTACTACTAAACACTTGTAGTTATTAAAGGGTGGATATAGGGATTGGAAGATAAATCGTTGCAAAACAATCCAAGAGGGGACAACAAATAAAGTGCAATTTTATCTTTCCCAGCTAAAATTTGCTGAGATCCTGTACCTTGGTAATGTCATTGGAATAGTAATTCACAGGACCATGTTAATGCTGTGGGGATATCAGTTCAATTCCCACAATGGTAACTGGTGGAATTTAAATTCAATTAATAAAATCTGGAATTAAAAGCTACTCTCAGTAATACTAACTGTAAGTCCAGCATTGACTCTCATATAAAACCATCTAATTTACTGACACCCTTTTGGGAAAGAAGCTTTTGTCCTTACTTAGTCAAGCCTACATGTGACTTTAAACTGATACCAAAAAGGTTGACTCTTAAATGCCCATTCCACAGTTTATGGAGCAATTGGAAATGGGCAACAAATGCTGGCTTTGCCACAATGTCCACATCGCGTGAGAGAATTTAAAAAAACCTCTATTCAGTTTGAAGAAAAATAAATTTCCACAAGTCATTAATAAGCAGTCTCTTTGAATGAAAATTATTGAATAAATGCTGTAACCTGCATTTTTCAGAGAAGGAAAAACATTCAACAACGTCAAAATTTTGCTTCCAAACAAGCAATCCTCATGTCAGCGACCAACCCATGAAATTAACTTATTTAGGAGAATTAAGAACTGTTAACACTATCCAACTGAAGACCACAAGATCTCACACAATTTAAGTGCAAACGAAATTGTAAAAAAACAAGGTGTGATCCTGGGAATAGTCATGATCTGACATTTATCTAGCATAAACGTTAACTGCCTCATGCCAGCTTGTCTAATTATTATCTAGGGTATGTGTAGTGGTTGTACTAATTTTGTACTTCACTGTAAGGTGAATTGTTTCTGGCAGTTAATGAACGTGGACAAATCTTGTAGATTTTCATGATGAAATTACGTCGGTTTTGATGGCCAACTGCACCTTATTATTCTGAACTGCCAGATCTGTCCTTAGTTTTTTCCATGCAGCACGGTAGTTATACCACATGACATGGAGTATTTCCCTGCAGTGGAACTGAAATTTATTCTTCACAGGAAATATCAAAACTATTGTGGACTGATATTTCTCCAACAGGTGCAGCAGTGCACTGAGCAATTTTGCCCATGTCACTTCACCAACTGATGCAGAGCACCAGATATGTCCTTCAGAAGCTAGCTAGTTCAACATGAAACAGTGCTGACTGAACAGAGGAGTGGAGGGGTTTGCTAGCTCGAGGTGGTCATCACAGGCAGTTCCCTTAACCTTGTTTGACCTGAATCCATGAGGTTTCATAAGGTCTGTGGATAATTGTTGAGGATTCCCGGGGCATTCTTGTTCGCTGTACTCTACTGTATCCTCATCTCTCTTGGATACCTCCCGTCACTAGGATTGGATAAATCCAGGTATGATGACAGAGATTTATTGGATTCAGATCTGACGAAAACATAGGACTCCCTAATACAAAAGGTTTACAGATCTGAAGGCATTTAGTAAAAACAAATCCTGGAACATTGAAATGTTAACTATCCAGGCCTCTAAAATAGATGAAGACAGTTAAATTGACAAGTTCAATCTTCAAACTAAAATGAAGATACAAACTAGTCTATAGAGTTCTCTCAGCTACAAGGTTTAAGACAGGTGTACTACAATGCATATTCAGCACAATATTATGAAAAATCATGTATAAGCAAGGTTATCTGGATGTGGCAATCTATGATAACTGATGTAATGATTACACAGATGTTGACAAGTACATTACTGACTTCAGTAGGTAAGTCAAATCAGATTTCTGAAATCTTGAACAATATTCAACAGCCATAATAGTCACTCAAAACTGAGGATGCGAATTCAATCCAAATATGTGCAACGGGTTGTTGCGATGAGAACATAAGGAATCTGCAAGGGGTTACAGGTAGATTGAGTGAGTGGACAAAAGTCTGGCAGAGGGAGTTTAATGTAGGAATTCAGGAGGTTTCACTTTTTTTCAGAAGAATCAAAAAGTTGACTATTAGTTAAATGAAGAGAGACTCCAGAAAAAGAACAGCACAGAGGATCTAGGAGTTCTTGTACGTGAAACTCAAAAAGTTAATTAAGAAATTATTAAAGGACATTATCAGTAATTAAGATGATAAATGAAATTTGGGTCTTTATTGCTAGGGTGTTGCAGTTTAAAAACACCAAAGTTTTGTTACAAATATACAGGGTATTGGAGAGACTGCATCTGGAGTACTGTGCAGTTTTGGGTCCCATACTTAAGAAAGGATGTACTGGCATTGCAGACAGTTCAAAAGAAATTCACTAGACCAATTCCTGAGATAAAGGGGTGGCTTATTAAGACTGCTAAACAGGTTAGACATGTATTCATTTGAGTTTAGAAGAATGAGGGGTGATCTTATTGAAACAAATAATATTCTGAAGGGGCATGAGAGGGTATGCTGAGAACTTGTTTTCACCCAGTGGGAAATCTCGAACAAGGAGACATTTATACAGAAGGGAAACATTCGTTTAAAACTGATACACAGAGAAATTTCTTCTCTTGGAGGGCAGTGAATGTTTAGAACTCACTATCCAAGAGAATTGTGGAGGCTAAGTATTTAAAGAGGCTGATCGATTTTTGAAAAATCAAAGAGTGAGGGTGACAAAGGAGCTGGCATGTGAGAAGAGTTGAGGCTAGGGCAGATCAGCCACAATCTTATTGACTGGAGGGACAGGCTACTTCTGCTCCTAATTATGTTCTTATCACAGTTTCATGGGCATCTATAAATTAAGTTTTATTGGCCTGAAATTCCAGTTTAATGGCAGGATCGATGCAAGTGTCTTATTTTATGATAACTCTTCAAATACTTCCAAGATTTTCCTTAATTCCTTCCATGATTCAAAATGGCACTGCTTTTGACTTGCCTCAAGAACATGACTTGCAGTTCAGAGACGGTTCACTAGATTAATTTCAGAAATGAGGGCTTGTCTTATCAAGTGAGATGGATCAGCTTCAGCCTATATCATGAGTTTAGAAAAATAAGAAGAAGTATACAAGACAATAAAGGAGATTTACAAAGTAGACGTAGGGAGATATTTCCCTTTGTGGGTAAATCTAGAGAACAGAAGGTTTTAGGTTAAGCCAGCATCAGATTTAAAATAGAGATGAGGAGAAATTGCTTTTGTCAAAGGGTCATGAATCTGTGGAATTCACTACCAAGAGTCTGGTGGATACTGGAACACGGAATAAATTTGAGTCGTCAAATTTTTAAATTAGTAACAAGGCCAAAGGGTGGGAAACCATCAGGAAAGTGGATTTGAGGCTGAGATAATATCAGCCTTGATTGTACTGAATAGTAGAGCAGGCTGGAGGGACTGAATTGCCTTCCTCTGCTTCAGAGTTCTTGTGTTCTAACATTCTTATTAACCCCTGATACACATTGAACTATGTTAGTGAACACTATAGGGTCATGGTACTGGACCAGCAACACAAATTTAAATATTGCTATGAAAAATTTTGAAACTGAATTCAGTTTATCTGATAATCTGCAAAACATCAAAATTATGGAAGTTGCTGGAATTAAAAATTCAACTGATTCACCAATAACTGATAACCCAGCTTTGTTTAGTTTGTTGGTAACTGGCCAACAAAAACAGCGTGCAATTATAAAGCATCTTCTCAATTGCAGAGCTTGCAAGGTGCTTCACAGACAACTAAGTACTTTTTTCTGAAGTGGGGGAAGAATTCTTCTATTTCCGAGGCAGTCATGAAGACAGGACTGAGAAGAAGGTTCAACAAGGAAGAGTTGAGTTGGTATGTTAATGCGTTTCAACTTCCAGCTGGAAGCAACAAAGATTTTCTTCCAAGGTGGCACAGCAGCTGTGATGTGCAGCCACACTTTGTGCCTTAAAAATTTATAATGCATGTTTCATAAATTAACCGATAAAAGATTTCATGACGCTAAAGGCAAACAAAGTGGAACAGCTTTAACACTGGCATCTACCTGATAATGTGGATAATTACACAGGTATATCCTGTACACAAAAAGCAGGACAAATCCAAACAGCGAAGTAGCTTCCCTTCAATCTATTTTCGATCATCAATAAAGTGATGAAGGTGTCATCAACAGTGCTATTAGGCACTTGCTTAGCAATAATCTGCCCTGTGACACTCAGTTAAGGTTCCATCAGGTCCACTCAGCTTCTGACCTCATTACAGTCTTGGTTCAAACATGGAAGATGATGAATTCAGAGATACGATGAGAGTGACTGCACTTGACATCAAAGGTTGGATTTGACTAATTGTGACATCAGGAACTTTAGCAGAACTGAAATCAATGCAAATCAGGGGGAAAACCTTCTACTGGTTTGAGTGGAGTAGAAAGGACAAAGGAAGATGGTAATGCTATGGAGATATGTCATCTCAGTTCCCAGATATCTCCCAAACATCTTCAATTATTTCATCAATGACCTTCGCTCCATCAAAAGCTAAGAAGTGAGGATGCCTGCTTATGACTGCGCAATGTTCAGCACCATTCGTGACTCCTCAGATCAAAAGCAGTCCATGGCCAAATGCAAAAAGATCTGGACAACATCCAGGCCTGGACTGACAAGCGGCAAGTAATATCCGTGCTGCACAAATGACTATCCCTAAGAGAGGCTTCAACCATTGGCCCATGACATTCAATGACATCATCACTGAATTCTCCAACTGTCAACACTCTGGGGTGTTGACCAAAAATTGAACTGTACTGGTTATACAAGTACTGTGGCTATACCAGCAGGTCAGAGGCTAGGAATCTTACAGCAAGGAACTCACCATCTGACTCCCCAAAGCACGTACACCATTTAAAAGGCCCAAGTCAAGGATGCGATGGAATATTATCAACTTGCCTGGAAGAGTGCAGCTCTAACAATGTTCAAGAAGATTGAAACCATCCAGGACAAAGAAGCCTTGACTGGCACATCCACAAACATTTAGTTCCTCCAACACTGATGCTCAGAAACAGCAGTATACACCATCTTGAAGATGCACTACAGAAATTCATCAGGCCTCCTTAGATAGCACTTCCCAAACACATGGCACTATCATTTAAAGGGTTATGGACATCAGATATGTGGGAACACATCCACCTGCAAGCTCCCTCCAAGCCAACATCGTCCCTCCAGTGTCGCTGGGTCAAAATCCTGGAACTTCCTCCTTAATGATATTGTAGGTGTATCTAAACCAAATGCACTTCCAGCAGTTTAAGGCGGCAGCTCACCAACTTCCAAGGGCAACTACAGATGTGGATGGGCAATAAATGCTGAACCAGCGAATGACGCCCACATCATGTGCATGAATGAAAAAAAATGCTTCATAAAAGAAAAATGTTCCAAAGGAGATGTAGTGGCTATACAGTAACAATCTGAATGCAACATGAAGGGTTCAAGAATGAACCATGCCAGCAAAAACAACAAAACAAAACCTTATAAAAAATGATGTAGGCAGAGGTTGCTGAACTTGATATTAAATCCAGAAGGCCGTAGACAGCAGTGCCAAAATGAGGTGTTGCTCCTTAGGCTTGTGTTGAGCTTCACTGGAATAGTGTAACAGGCCATAGACAAAAGGTCAGACTGGAAGCAAAGTAGAGAATTACAACTTCAAGCAGCTCAGAATCATGCTTAAGAACTGAACAGAGGTGTTCTACAAAGCAGTCACCCAGTCTGCATTCGACTTCCTCAATGTCAAGGAAACGTAGAGCAAAGTTCCAAATTACACATGTGGATATTCCTTCCCTATTAACCTGCCAACTGTCATGTGTGGGGAAAGGGACAACACTCTGCTCTGCGAGACAGCTTGAAGCAACAGCATTAACTGCTTATTGAGACAGTGCCAGATGATAATGCCACTGGAGTGACAGGCAAGAAACTGGACAGTTCTACAAAAACACTGGAAAATCTGCTGAAATTATTTCTTTCCATATAACATGGGAAGTATCCTTGGAAGCGAGAAGGCCAGAGTTGTCCAGAGAGTAAAAGAAGGTCAAGAACAAACTCTGCTTCTTTTTAAAGAGGCAATATTTAAGAAACATTTATCAAAATGTATGTATTCAATACTGTGAAGGATTAATGGATTTAAAACAATTAGTCCCTTATTACACAATGGCCGAGTGCCTGTTCTACTTTTGCAGTACAAGGCAACTGAACTTACAGTATTTGAAAATAGATGTGCTTACTCTGTTCTGTTGATTGGCTGAATTCTTTGTCATTCCTAGTAATTGTGGTACAGATTGCTGCCGCTGCTGCTGTGGTCGCTGCTGTAGCTGTTGGGCTCCTTTTGTCAATGTGACCTTTCGAACAGGCTGCTGTTTCTGAAGATGCTGCTGGTGTTGCCGCTGCTGAGATTGGACCTCAGGATGAGAAAAGCCAGTGTTCTCGCTCCCCTGCTGTAAGAACACAGCATCATGCTGCTCAGTGTCTTCACTCAACACAAAACCTTTTACCACTCACCATGTGCTAACTGCAGTATGACCTTGCAGAAACTGGAAAAATAAACTACAAATGAATTCGCTCCATCCATACAAAGACTGCTAATTTACATGCATTTTGCAGGACGAAAGCAAAAGATTGTCTTTCCTGTAATATGGGAAATAAAATATTTTATTCCATTATACTGACATATTAAATATCCACAGTAACAGCTCTAACATGCAGAAAAAACCCACTCAACAATTTTCAACATTACTACTTAAAAGCATCATCTCGCGATTCCTATCTAGGCCCAAAATCGTGTTTAAATCTTTGTCATTTCTCTGCAAACCATCGGGGACAGACAGTACCTAATCGCTAGTGTATTGTTAAACCATATTTTGGGAATAAGATCAGGTCTCTCGCAGTCTAGTGAGTATAAGATAATGTCTAGTGCAGCACCAACATAAATATCAGAACTCCCAAGTTTCTGAAGAAAAATCATACTGGACTCAAAACGTTAACTCTGTTTCTCTCCACATGTTTCCAGACCTGCTGAATTTCTATAGCGTTTTACATGATTATGTCTGTTCCTGTCTGTACTGTTACTATTGGTAACAGGTGACAACTATTTGAGTTGTTCAGAATCACCTGTAAACAGTGAGTTTGGGAGAAGTATGAGAGAGCTGCCAACAACCTTGGAACTGTCTAGTGATCTCATCTTTTGTAATTGCAGAAGTGGGGAAGTACTGTCAATCGTGAAAGAACACATTTAAATTATCCTTCTCTTAGCAATTCCCATTATTTAAATCAAATCTACTATAAAGCATAACGGTCAATCCTATCAAATGGTATAGCATGCAGACTTTGCAATTATTATTGCTCTGCACTAGCAAAAGCTATCTGCATATCTCACGTGGAGTCTTGCACATTGCAAATGCTTCATGTCTGTATGGAATCCTTCCTAAGCCCTTATCATGGCAACTTTAAAATAGGAAAACAGCTATATATTTTATAACTAGAATACCATATATAAATAATTGCCTAGTACGAATCAAAATGCTATCTAAAATAAGTGGTTCTTTTTCCTTTAGCATTTGAAATTTTTAATGACAAAACGAATAAAAATTCACATTTTAAAGTAACATGAATACATTTACCAACTGATTGTTATACATTTCAAAACCTTTATTAAACTTTTAACATTAAGTTCTTGAATTGCATCAAAAGCCTGAGGTTCAGCTAAATATTTTCACTTCAGCAGTTGGACTTAATCATTTAAGTGCATCTGGAACAGCATGCAATTTGTGCAACAATATAAAGCGACATTCTTTCATCTGGTGAAGACTTGACAGCTTCTTTGCTTTTCCTATAAACCTTTCAAATAAAATGGAAACCAAACACTTAACTACTCACAAACAACATCTGGTATCAGCAACACCTCTGATTCTGATTCAGTAGGAAACAAAAGATTATTTTTTAAAACATTAATTATTATCCACTCATTATGCTGATCTCTATTTTGGAAAAGGAAGAGTGTCCAACCTTTACACATTAGATACGGGCAAATTTCAATTTTTCTCTTCCTCAAGGGGCAAAGTTCAGCAAGGTGAGGATTGCCACAACAATAAATATGAATTTCATGAAGAAAATTCAAAACCATAAATTAATGATTTAGATTGGTAATTAATAGAAAAGACCACGAAGAGGGGCCATGTAGCAAGGTTTAATAATAAGCTAATTTTCACCTTTTTGGCTAACAAGCAGAGCTAAACAGAGAAAAAGAATCAACCCTAATTCATGGTCACCAGGGAAGGGGGAGGTGACTGGGGCCAAGGAGTTAGTTTTTAACTAACACTGACCTTGGGATCGCCTGTGGTGAGGTGCACTCTGAACTGGCCACAGTGGCATTCACAGAATTAGGTGGGTCAGAAGTGAGTTGCCTTTCAACCTGGAGTTTCATCCTTTACCTCTCCCCTTTCCTCATTTCTTTCTCACCCCTTCCACCCTCTCTCATTTTGCCTCTAACTTCAAAATAATCCATGAGGCTTTGCAGTCTGAAAATTTCATCCAGCACTATAAACCCTCTGGCAAATATTTTGCATTGAAGTTAAAGCAGCCTAGTATTTCTTTCCTAGACAGACTTAAATTTAAAAATTAGAAGAAAGGAAAATTAATGGCAGGAACCTAGCAGCGTGACCATCACTTCCTCCCGCCTTCACTGTCAACAGCCAAACTTGCAGATCCCCTCCACCATTCAAGTCTTAACGATTCGCAGATTCCCCCACCACCATTTCATTGTCCTCCACCCATGCTGACTGTCATCTTCTTCATCCCCCTCACCAAATCAGAGTTCCTGACGGCCTCCCAATCCCAAATGCAGGCTGCAGACTGACTGCCAAGGCTCCAAAGCCTTGGATTGGTCATGGCTCTTCTCTTCGTGATTGATTTTCATTCACATTCGTTTATACACTGGCCAGTAAGCCCACAGTAGCGCATAATGAGAAAAAAAGACGACCTTAGATCAGAGAAGGAATGCCCTGCAAAAGTTCCCACTTATAGTTGCCTGCATCTGAAACACTGGCTGTACGAATGAGCTGTAAATTTATCTACCAATATATCAGATGACAGGCCACATGAAATATTATGGTGAGCCCTATGTGGTCCATGGCTTTTAGGTTGAGTACCTTTATCTTCTCATGCATTTTTCAAGCATTAAGGGACATCTTCCTTATCTAAAACACTGAAGAATGAACATCTGAAGCAAATCTTCAGGAGTCCAGAAGTCAGTTATCAAGGATAGATGGTCACATTGACAGAATATAGCTTGTAGTGGATAGTGTATAGCAAGAGTTTAGGACAAATGAAGCTTACAGAGAGTTTGGATAAGGATTCTGAGAGATAGTGGATACAGTAGACACAGAGAAGTTTACACTGGTAGGAGAGACTTGGACCAGAGGGCTTAGCCTCAGTGAAGGGACAGACCTTTAGAACTGAGATGAGGAGCAACTTCTTCAGCCAGAGGGTGGTGAATCTGTGAAACTCATTGGCACAGAGGGCTGTAGAGCCAAGTCATTGAGTGCCTTTAAGAAAGAGACAGATAGGGTTACAAAGAGAAGACAGGAGAATAGGTTGAGAAACATATCAGCCATGATCAAACAGCAGCCTATTTCTGCTTGTTTATACCATGGAATTTTTTTTTAAAAATCAACCGGTCAGGATGCTAAGACACCTTGATGGCAGATGGGACTTGAACTCAGACAATCTAGCTCAGAGGTAAGGTCACTAACACTACGCAAGAAGATCATCTTACTATATAAAAAATGAAAGGTGCTGTATATCAGAAACAAAAATAGAGATTTTTGGAGAAGCTCAGCAGGTCTGGCAGCATTTGTGAAGAGAAATCAGAATTAATGTTTCACCGTACCCGAAATGTTAACTCTGATTTCTCTTCACAGATGCTGCGAGACCTGCTGAACTTTTCCAGCAATCTCTATTTTTGTTTCATCTTACAATATCATGAATTACTTGCATTGCAGCAGGAAAGAATAATCAATTTAACAAGAATAGAATAACACCATTAGATTTTCATAACCATGATTGAATAAAACATTTCAAAATCAAACTAAAATATGCAAAGGTCAAGAATGGATGGGGCAAGCTAGAAAGAAGGGAGAATATTTACAATAACTGAGTTGTCAAGACCAAGAAAACAAATGCAAATTTAGAAGATAGGAGAAAGTTCTTCACACAGCATTGCAAGTGGATTTCACATCCAGTGTTAGTGCTTAAATCACAAACTATGTCAACTTTCAAGGTGAGAGTGGATAGTTGGTAAAAGAAAATGGGTTAAACGGGATAGGGAAACAAAACTGATTTGCTGCGATTGGGATCAGTTGCTTGCCTGGAAAGTAAACACTCCAACTGGACTGGCCAACTAGCTTTTTTTTTTACATTTTATCAATTTTGCAGATGTCTTTACTGTTTTACAAAAAGTCAGAAAAAACTATAGTTTCTAAATACCAAAAAATATTCCCAATTGATAAATGCCTTTGCACCTCTTTTTTAAAAAACCTGGTTAAATTCAGCAAATATATGGCTTCCAAGAAATGCATACATCTGTCAGCGCGCTAATGTATTTTTATTAAATCTATCAGTTCTGTCCAGAAAAAGCCTTTTCCAAAAGACCTTCAAAATCTGACAGATCAAATCTTATTTCTATTCTCAAACCTAAGCAAGTGGTGATAACACCAACCACATTCAACAGTGCAAATTGATTAATCCCCCTTTATAGAATTCCCCCTCTCCTGATTACACCTATCAAATGTTAAGTACCATTATGCTGAAGTGACAACACATGGTAAATTCCCCATCCATTTGCAGCAGTCTTTGTGGTCCTGCTCGCCTGTACTAACAATGATGAAAAATTAATTTCCCTTATCTACAACTAAGCCATGAAATCCAAATCCTGCAAACTGGCAACTCTTTCTGTACAGGTATTATGAAAACCTCTGAAGATTAATTGCACGTCAGGTGACATGAAATTAATTTCTGTATTCCTGACAGACATTTGATACTCTGTACTGAGAGAAAAGATAACATTGTCAGAGTACACAGAACGACAGCACTGCAGCTTCCTGGGCAGCTTCGTAAGGATTCCCTTTATAAAAAGGATACACTGCCTGTCAAAGGTACTGCCACCAATCCAGCTGCTGGCAGACTTTGCAAGACAAGAATCTATTAACAGTGACACAGTGCTTTTATTTTTACCAGTTGCAAATAAAAGAAAATTCAAATTTCTGCTCAAATCCCAGTGACAGTTATGGGAAAATAAGCAGATTCAACACTCTTCTTTCACCTTAAGCTATAAAACCTGAACCATTTGAAGTACTATTAATATCAGTCAAAAGTTTAATTAGTACACATGGGCATTATCTACAGGAGATTTTACTGAAAGTCTCATGCTGTTATAGATTATTTTGCACTTCTACAAGCAACACCCTCTGGCAAAACAAAAATCAGATTCAAAGGTGACTCACAATCAAGTCAAAAATGTTGAAGTATTTTCGAAGAACAGTTTTATCTTTCAACATTAGCTTGTACTAAATATAACAGACAAATAACAGAAAGATGTACTGTGAGGCTGTGCCAGACTTTTAACTACCTAAACATTTATGTGAATGCACAGTAGAAGTCTCTGAACCACTGGCAAAGGAGATATCTGTTCATACTCAGCACTAAAAGGCCACATTCTATAACAGTGAAGGAACAATTAACGACAAAATTTTGATAAAATATGCTACGAAATGTTTTTCTGCTGCAACAGAATTTTCCTTAAACTTTTAAAACCAAACATATCTAGCAAATTACTTACACCTTGAAATGAAGATGACTACATTGTAAATTCAAGCATGAACAAATCATACAAAAGCAGAAATTCATTTGGCACCTGCAGTATGACTTGCATAAAGTGAAGTTACCTCTGTTAAACAATAAAAATTTGGTTTTCTTTCAAAATTAGTACCAATTGCACAATGCATTTGTACAAAGAAACCTAGGTCTTACCATAGTTGGAAGCTTGAGTACCCTTATTTTGGGATTAATGTGAGGCCCATCCCCTCCTCCACTGTTCATTCTTTGCATTACAGTCCGTTTTACACCAGGTTTTAATTCTGGAGTCTTGACTGCAGGAACAATCATCTTTCCAGACTGCATGCTAGATCCTGGTATGTTAACTGGTTTACACTGAACAACTTTTGAAAACTGAAGTTGATTTAAAGATGCAGGTCTGACCTGTTTGGTTTGGTTGATGTTCTTTTTCAATTCTGCTTGAACCTGCATAGTATTTCCAGCTTGATGGGTTTTAATAAATTGTTGTTGTGCTCCGGCTCCTGTGCCTTGTTTCTTTGTGGATAGTCTGTTTTTTATGTTTGGCTGTACTAGGCTTACAGCCTGTAGTGTGGATGTGTTAATGTTCTGGGGAGCCTGTGGTGCATTTGCTGGTTGTGGTGCAGCAGGCGGCTGCTGCTGCTGCTGTTGTGCAAGACGTTCAAGCAGTTCTTTCTTTCGGGCACCGGCTTGCTGCTGACGTCGGAGCTCCTTCTGTTTCAGAATTTCTTCTCTGAGCTTTTTCTGCTCTTCAATTTTCAAACGATACACTCTTGTTTCCTCATCTTCATCTGTAGGCTAATGAAAGAAGTGTTAATGAATTTAGATGCACAAAATGATACTATTTACAAAATTGGTTTTACACAATTTTGAAACTGCCTACTAAAATGCAGAAACTAAAAGAAAATTAGTTGAATCCATTTGTCGAAGACAATGTCAGAGCCAGGACTTCGATAAATGGAAAAGTGGTGGTGGGGGAAGGTGGTGAAGCGAATTCATCCCCCTTTTAACTTAGTTCCTCCTAAACAATGGAAGATATGGGGAAAAAAAAAAATGTTCATTCTCTCCCTGCAGAAACAATGCGACAAAATGCAATAAGTTGAAAGATGATATTTGGAAGTTGAACAAATACTCACATGAACTGTTGCTTCAAAGTAGCCATAAAATGCAGTTTTATGTAATTCAAGTGAGAAAAGCATACCAAAAATTCATGTGTGTATATTTTTTCATTTGGGTCAAAAGGGAAGAACAGTAAAAAAAGGAAGGACAGGAGAAAAAGATAAACTCATTTGTTCAAATTAAAGAGCCAAGGCATGTTTAGGTGCTGTGGAACTAAATGGTCCTTTGTACTGTAAATTTCATAATTCAACATGAAGATACAAGAAATACCAAGAATGTAAATATCCCTTGAAAAATTAATGATTTGCTTTCTTTGACACTTTGGTTATTTTAAAAATAACTTGGAAACCAGTTTACCAAATGAAATATGGTTGTAAAGCAATTGCTAAAAGATTATGTCTTTCTTAAAATTTTCTCCATTTTAAGCAGTGGCGAAGGAAAAGCAGAATTCAATCAAGCATATAGATTTGAGTTGTTGATTTCTTCCTCATCTACTCAAAATACATATATAGTATCCTAAAGTAGTAATTTTACCTTTGGTTTACCACCGCTCATTAATCAAGGTACACATATATTTAACAACAGTTTTTTTTGTAAAGCAGAAAAAGTAGACTAGAAATATCCATCTGTTAAGGTATGCAGGTTGGAAGGCCAAGTTAATTAAAGACCAACTGGGACAGAAGCATATGTAAGGATTTAAGTTACAATGGAAAACTTATCCAAATTGGCACATTAAATAAAATAATACACACACAATTAGCACATGGAACTGGCTAGCTTGTAATCCAATATCTGTCACACTCCCAAGATTTAAATACGAACTATGGCAAACCAGTCAAGCCCAACGTACACTACATATTTTTCCCATATCATAGAAGCACCCAATCTTTGGACAGACCACTGTAAATTTAAACCACAATCCAGCAGTGGAGTCCTAACAAACTTCCATGAACCTTTTCACTGGGCAACCCATTTCTATAGAGAAGCATATTATTTCTTGGCCAGCAGCTATAGTGGATAGATTTAAGACGGAATCAGAGCACTTCAATGAGTTCCGTGGCTAGAGACGTAGGCCAAGCTTGGGTTTTGTGAGAAGAGAAATCATGTTTGACCAATCTACTGGACTTCTTTGAGGAAGTAACAAGTGCTGTGGATTAAGGAAAACAGTGGATATTTTGGTGTCCAGAAGGCACATGATAAAGTCTTGCATCTAAGGTTATCACAGGAAAATAAAAGCTCACCGTGTCCAGGTTGACAGGTTAGCATGGAAAGAACAATGGTTGGTGAGCAGAGAGCACAGTGTGCCTTGTGCCACAGGGATTGGTGCTGGGACCTCAACTGTTTATAATTAACATAAATGACTTTGATGAGGGGACAAAGAGAATGGTTACAAAGTTTGCTGATGACACAGAGGGTTACTATCAGGACAAAAGGTAAAAAGTCCCTATCTGAGTACAGGCACTTCAAAAAGGGGAGGTGGTGATGCAGCGACAAATATTCTGGGTACAGGGGTGCAAAACCCACCAGGCAGATCATGAAATTTGAATTCAATTAAGAATTGAAATAAAAAGCTAGCCTAATGGCAACCACGTAACAATTGTCAATTGTTATAAAAACCCAACTGGTTCACGAACATCCTCTAGGCAAGAAAATCTGTTGTCTTTCCCTGGTACGGCCTACACGTGAAGCCAGACCCAAAGAAGTGCAGATGACTCTTAATCGTGCTCTCAGCAATTAGCGTTGAAAAATAATTGCTAGTCTTGCCAATATGGGGGTGAATAAATAAAAATGTAGCATTTGGAAGAAGATTGATGGCATTAATATAAATAAATGGATACAATCTGACTGCCATTAAAAGACATGGTTGCAATTTGAGACAGGAAAGTCAACGTTTTGGCCCAAAACACTTCATCAGGACTAGGGAGGAGAAGGGAGCCCAGAAGTAAATTTTGTGTGTGTGTGTGTGTGTGTGTGTGTGTGTGTGTGTGTGTGTGTGTGTGTGTGTGTGTGTGTGTGTGTGTGTGTGTGTTTGTGTGTGTTTG